GTATAGGTAAGGGTTTACAAACACTTTAATTGTGTATTAAGCAACACTTGTAGATTTGTTGGCCTTAGAACTTCAACTGCAGCCCTGTAAAATACTGTAAAGCCCAGTCACTGTAAAATAATCCTGTATGCTTGGTGCAGTTTACAGAACCATGGCCTCTTCACAGCAACGTCTTTGTGGCTGAATCAGGTTAACGTGGCTGCATGGCATAGACTCTCTAAGCCCCCAGTCACATCAAAGCCAATTTTTAAATTGTGCGACTTACAGTGAAGTTGCATGATTTCAAAATCGGGTGACCTGCCAATTTCAGTTGCGATTTGCAAGGTATCTGACACAGTTGTCTATGCAAATCACACCAAAAGTAGTGCATAATTTAGAAATTGGTGCGGCTCCGACCAAGTCGGAACAGCACCAATATGACCGCTGTAATTGTGGACAATAGGGTGCAACTTGGCATACGATTTGCAAGTCTCATGGCATGCAAATCGCATGCCAAATTGCACCTGATGTGACCGGGGTGTAAGATTCTGTAATAACAGAGAATCAAGCTGGGAATTATTATTTTAGTAAAACAGCACAGGACACATCTACTTGCAATCACTATCCTCATAGACAGCATCTCACACAGTAAAGTCCAGGGTATCCCCTGAAACACAGACAAACAATTGGAGGGATCCAATGGCAAAGCGCTACCCCACTGGAGTACACTGTTTGCAATCAAGAAGGGACGCTCCACAGTAGCTGGGTCTTCTGAAGAAGATACATGCTATTAAGCTGCCTGCATACTGATTCTGATAGTAAGGGGCCTCTCACATGGTTGCAGATAAGATGTGGCCTCTATGAGCTTCTGCAACAGAAGTTCTAAAGAGCCATAAATCTTTTTCTTCAGACAGCTAAACAAATGCTGCTTACTACTCAAATAAAGCAAGGGAGGTCTGTGACTAGTTACATAGTTAGTCTTGCTGAAAAAAGACAAAAAGTCCATCCAGTTCAACCATAGGAAAAAAAAAAAAAGTTATAATCCTATACCCACAGTTGATCCAGAGGAAGGCAAAAAAAAAAAACCCAGCAAAGCATGATCCAATTTGCTCCTGCTGGGAAAAAATCCTTCCTGATCCCTCGAGAGGCAATCGGATATTCCCAGGATCAACTTTACCTATAAATTGTAGTATCCAGTTATATTTTGTGTATCCAAGAAACAATCCAGGCCTTTTTTGAAGCAATCCACTGAGCTGGCCAGAACCAACTCTTGAGGGAGTCTATTCCACATTTTCACAGATCCTGATGGCTCCACCTGTATGTCTCAGCTTTTGTAGAATGATGGCGTCATAGTTTAAATTTCCTTATCAGGCTCTCTATTAGGAAGTGAAGTCATCATTCCAGAAGAGCTGAAGTCTCTGAGCTGCTGAGAGAGAGAAGCAGAGAAACTTATTTTCCCTGGAGGTGGAACTCAAGAGTTGTGGGAAAAGGAGTGAGTAAATGGACTTTTCACTATAATCCCATCCCATCCCTGGGTCCAACAGGGGATGTCTGCTATGGCAATAGTAAGTCCCTCCAGGTTTAGGTGTGGTTGGTACCATTATTTTATGAAGCTGATAAAAATGGGGGAGCCGCATAAAGAAAACTGGAGGATGGAGCTGATGAGTGACTTCAACAGGGAAAACTCCTATACAGTTTTCATTAAAAGGTAACTGAAAGTAGAAATTCTTTAAAGCAGTTTCTGTTAAAAAAAAAAAAAAGTAAATCATGTTAAAATGGACTATCTCTAAACTGAGAATAAAACACATCCTATTCTTTTGGGGGGAAAGGCTATGGTCATAAAGTGGTTAAAGATGGAAATTTGTGGTCTTTTTCTCATGATTTTTTTTTTCTATAAGCATGCAAGGTTAAAGATTATGATTTAACGATATTTTACAGAAACTTTCAGATACAAGCAAGCTGCTTTCATTAATCATGTTTTACACTGCTCCTTAGGTTCCTGTCACAGTGATAAGTGAGGTATAAGTAAAATTATAATTAACTCTGTGTAATGCTCTGTTAACTTCAAATATACTTTGTTAATAGAGAGCAGAATTACTCACACTGGGAAATGGAGAGTCAAATTCATTTTCTTTATTCTGAAAAGTTTTTTAATGGAAAATGTTACTAAACCAGTCCTAAAATCTTTTTTTTAACAGGGATTTTCTTTAAAAGGAGATTTCACGTTCCATCTCCAATGCCAATCACTGGAAGCCTCCCATCTTGGAAACCTCTCTTGCATGCTTTTACCAATATGAATAAAGACATGCATAGGGAGATCACTAAGGCATAACCAGAAACCTGAGCCTGCATTTCAGAATGAGTAAAACATTGGCACTCATATACTTTTGTATAATTACAAGCTATACAAAAGAAAAAGGCTTTTTACTATATATATCTATATATATCTATATATATATATATATATACAGTGGTATTAAGTATTTAGTCAGCCAATTGTGCAAGTTCTCCCAATTAAAAGATGAGAGAGGCCTGTGCAGATCTCCTCTAGAGCAGTGATGTTTTGGGGCTGTCGCTGGGCAACACGGACTTTCAACTCCCTCCAAAGGTTTTCTATGGGGTTGAGATCTGGAGACTGGCTAGGCCACTCCAGGGACCTTGAAATGCTTCTTACGAAGCCACTCCTTCGTTGCCCGGGTGGTATGTTTGGGATCATTGTCATGTTGGAAGACCCAGCTACGTTTCATCTTCAATGCCCTTGCTGATGAAGGAGGTTTGCACTCAAAAATCTCACGATACATAAACATAATCAGACAGCTAGGGAGGTTAACAAGCCATCTTCATTACATCTAAATGCATTGAGTTGCTGCCATGTGATTGGCTGGCTGATTAGCAATTGAAAAGGTGTACCTAATAAAGTGACTGGTGAGCAGGGGCGGACTGACAACTCATGGGGCCCCCGGGCAATAGGGGATCATTGGCCCCTGTGTCCTTGACCAAACTCAAAAAGCCTATGAAAAAGGTACCAGGGGCATCTCATGGGGCCCCCTACTGACCCCGGGCCCTCGGGCAGTGCCCAAGTTTTCCAAATGGTCAGTCCGCTCCTGCTGGAGAGTGTATTTGTTTTTAATCTACACAATTTGTTGTACATGCAAACTTTGCTGATACTTTGTTATACTGAATTGTGTTGCCACCTAGCAGTCAAGTGTGAAAACTATTCCTGAGCATCTCCGCTACTGAGATCGCTTCATTGACTGTTATGCTTTGTTTCAGCACTATTGTATGCTTTCCTTCCATTTTATCTGTTTTGTCTATTCATCCTGCATTTATTCAGTTAAAATCAAGTTGTTCTATTGCTGTTTGCCTAATCATTTGGCTGATTTAATTGCAGAAAAGTCCTATAAAAAGAGCTACAAGTGTTTAAATAAATTTGACTTTGATGTAAATGCACTAAACTAAATGTGATTTTTTATTATGTTGTTTGTTAAAATTGGGACAAGTTGTTGCTTGGCAGAAGTTTCCACAGTTAATTCCCCACAGCGTCTCACTCCCTTACCATTTTATGATTAGCTGTCCCTGCTGCTTAGGCTGCTGCCGCAGTTGTATGAAATCTCTGAGAGTCAGTGAAGAAACAATAAGCCATTTTTTTTTCACATTTCTCTTAATAGTACTTTTCAAAAATGTACACCTCCTGCTGACCAATGTCAGTTGAATAGACTTGAACAAGAATCACTTTCCTCTATTAAATCGCTTGGAGGGAGCAAACCAGTTCCAAACTTACTGTGCATAGGATTTTGAAAATGATGGCAGCACAAAAAATATCCAAAATGTATTATAGTTACATAGAATGACTGACTCATTGAGCTCCTTTGAAATCCTGATTTCAACTGTAATTTAAAAAAGCTGGAATAGCTACCTTGTTTTCTACAATTTTAAGTGCATACATCTTGAGTGTAATTGTTTTTAAGCTATCCCCAATTGTTTTGTGATTTCTCTACATGCCTGAAAATGAAAACTACAAAACTACTCACCCAGCACTTACTGACACACCTTGAGATACAATAAAGGCAAAAGAAAATCGTGCGCTGCCAAATAATATGAATAATAATAGATGAGCTGCTGCAAACACGTGTTATGTGGGAAAACATAAAAAACAGACTAAAACAAATTAAAGTTTTGCTAGCATAAATCAATACATGTAAATATACAAACAAAAATGTGACTGATAGTCCCAAAAGATGATAAAACATAAAAATAATTGCAATTCTTTAAAAAAAAATCCAAATAAGTGAAAATCTTCCTGCTGGTGATTGCACCCAAAATCCCAGTGCTGTAAATCTTCAATACATTTGAATCACCACAGTGATCATAGACTTCTAGGTGGACTCTCACCTTTTCGCATGGACCTGTATGTGGACATAGGTCAAACAAAGAATCTCCCCTATTAGTTGGGGTAAACACATAACTTTGCTCCTCTGTGCACTCTTCCCCTTATGATCACCACTGGACCTTCACAAATGGCACACACAATTTCAATACAGCCAAAACTGTTGATAATGCTTGACAACCACAAAGTACTGTATTTTTCGCTCCATAAGGCACACTTTTTTCCCCCCAAAAAACAGGGAAAATGTCAGTGCGTCTTATGGAGCGAAAATAAAGCGGCCCGGTCCGTATTTCCACCGCCACCAATGTCAAAATACCAGGCCGGCCGCTCAGCTGTTCTTAGATGCAGGACCTTACCTGTTCCTCGGTCCAGCGCTGCGCAGTCTTCCCGTGCAGGCTTCTTCCCACGCTGGCATCTGTGACAGCCGGGTGCCCACTGCGCATGCACGAGAAACATGACAGGTCCCAAGAAGATGCCGGGCCATTCGCAAAGTGCAGCGCTTATCGCGCATGTGCAGTGGGCACCCAGCTGTCACAGCCGGGTGCCCACAGTAAAGGGAGGACAACTCCGCGGAAGTGGGAGCGGGTACCTGTCCCCCAATTTCAGGTACCTGCTCCCCCTCCCTCCTTAAAGATCCGCAGTCTCTGGTCATCCCCTGTACTGTCTGCAGTCTCTGGTCATCGCCTATACCAGGGGTGGGCAAACTTTTTGACTTGAGGGCCGCAATGGGTTCATATATTGGACCGGGGGCCGGACCAAGAGTAGTATGAATGATGTGTATGTGTCATCCATAGTAAGTATAGTAATATTCCCCCATAGTAAGCATAGTAATTAATCTCCCCATATAGTAATTCATCCCCCATAGTAATTCATCCCCCATATAGTAATTCATCCCCCATATAGTAATTCATCCCCCCATAGTAATTCACCCCCATATAGTAATTCATCCCCCATAGTAATTCATCACCCCATATAGTAATTCATCCCCCATAGTTAATTCATCCCCCCATATAGTAATTCATCCCCCATATAGTAATTCATCCTCCATAGTAATTCATCCCCCATAGTAATTTCATCCCCCCCATATAGTAATTCATCCCCCCTATAGTAATTCAACCCCCCTATAGTATTTCATCCCCCCTATAGTAATTCATCCCCCCATATTATAGTAATTCATCCCCCCGCGCCATAGTAATTCATCCCCCATATAGTAATTCATCCCCCCCATAGTAATTCATCCCCCATATAGTAATTCATCCCCCATATAGTAATTCATCCCCCATAGTAATTCATCCCCCATAGTAATTCATCATCCCCCATATAGTTATATTCATCCCCCCTATAGTAATTCAACCCCCCTATAGTAATTCATCCCCCTATAGTAATTCATCCCCCCTATAGTAATTCATCCCCCATATAGTAATTCATTCCCCCATAGTAATTCATCCCCATATAGTAATTCATCCCCCCTATAGTAATTCATTCCCCCCTATAGTAATTCATTGTACATGCGCCCTATCATTTTATAGTTAGTTTTAAGTAAGTAATTATTCATCCCCCCTATAGTAATTCATCCCCCATAGTAATTCATCCCCCCTATAGTAATTCATCCCCCATCATAGTAATTCCCCTATAGTAATTCATCCCCCATATAGTAATTCATCCCCCATATAGTAATTCATCCCCCATAGTAATTCATCCCCCCTATAGTAATTCATCCCCCGTATAGTAATTCATCCCCCATAGTAATTCATCCCCCTATAGTAATTCATCCCCCATAGTAATTCATCCCCCCTATAGTAATTCATCCCCCCTATAGTAATTCATCCCCCATATAGTAATTCATCCCCCATAGTAATTCATCCCCCATATAGTAATTCATCCCCCATAGTAATTCATCCCCCATATTAAGTCCCCAAGTCCCCCCTGTGTCAATTCACTTACCTTTGCTCCGCGCGTTCCTCTCGCCGTGTCCCGCGCCGTTCCGGTATAGCATGAAAATCTGTCTCCTATGAGGATCTGTCCCCCTCGACGTATCTGCGCATGTGCCAGTTTCAGGCATTTGCAGCCGATCGGCGATCTCCGGCACATGCGCAGATACGTCGAGGGGGACAGATCCTCATAGGAGACGGATTTTGCTACACCGGTCTTCAGGGCGGACTGTGAGAGGAGCCTAGCTCCGCGGGCGGATTAAAAGGTCCGCCGGGCCGTATACGGCCCGCGGGCCGTAGTTTGCCCATTGCTGGCCTATACTGTCTGCAGTCTCTGGGCATCTCCTGTACTGTCTGCAGTCTCTGGGCATCTCCTGTACTGTCTGCAGTCTCTGGTCATCTCCTGTACTGTCTGCAGTCTCTGATCATTCCCTGTACTATGTCCGCAGTCTCTGGTCATCTCCTGTACTGTCTGCAGTCTCTGGTCATCTCCTGTACTGTCTGCAGTCCCTGGTCATCTCCTGTACTGTCTGCAGTCTCTGGTCATCTCCTGTACTGTCTGCAGTCTCTGGTCATTCCCTGTACTATGTCCGCAGTCTCTGGTCCATCTCCTGTACTGTCTGCAGTCTCTGGTTATCCCCTGTACTATGTCCGCAGTCTCTGGTCATTCCCTGTGTACTATGTCCGCAGTCTCTGGTCATCTCCTGTACTGTGTCCGCAGTCCCTGGTCACTCCTGTACTGTCTGCAGTCTCTGGTCATCTCCTGTACTGTCTGCAGTCTCTGGTCATTCCTGTACTGTGGCGCACACACCTAGTGTATTATCCAAGGTTTATTGTAAAGAGTAAAAAAATAATAAAAACATACTCACAGACGAAGCATGTATCTAAAAAGCATAGAAAAATGACAATGGCCACAACGGCAGGCAAAGGTGTTCTCACTGTCATTGCGGTCAAATGGTTGATGCGTTTCGGGGACGAATCCCTTTCCTCAGAGCTAATGACCAGCCTCTGATGCAGATGTGTAATGGATGAAAAGTGGGAGCCTTGCTGGTGATGCCTCAGTACAAAAACTGATATTTCAATAACAGATAACAGTTCACGATAAAAACTGGTCTGATTTGCACACATTTGCAAATACATGTGCTTCTTCAAGGCACCCCAATATTCTGCAGTTCCTAACTCTATAAATTTTGATATCCTCTATAGTAGGAGCACATGTATAATAATGGATAGACTGAGGGCAGGTAATCCTGGAGGAAGCCCACCCCTCCCTAAAGGCATAGGGGTGCACTGGACATCCAGCATATAGAACAATGACAGTTAAGGTGTCCAGTGCTTCCCCTCACTAATATACAGTATCAACAGTACAAACAAATGGCAACTGTCCCAATCTATAACTGGCTTTTGCAGCAAAGAGCACATGGAAGGGTGACACATGTCAAACAACAGAGAAAAATTCCCAGCTCAACTTACCAACCAGTCTGCAACCAATCAAATTGTCCTGCCTAACAGTTCATGTTAAAAACAGGGGTTTAGTTTGCACACATTTGCAAATACATGCGTAAGTTGCAGAGTCTCTTCAGTGCACCCCGATATTCCGCAGTTCCTAAAGCATGCCATACATGGGTTGAATTCCGAACGATTTTTTGATTGAAAATCGAAAACATTGTTCGTTCTGTAATCCGATGATTCCTCCAATGATTTAAAAAATTGGTCATTTTTCATGAATTTTCCAGCATAAACAAAATGGGGAGGAACCATGAAAATTGGCCGGTGCCATTGCCCCACTAACAGAGTGAAAATCAGTTGATTATTCTTAGGTCCGATTTTTTAACAAAAAAATTGTTCAAAAATCGACCCATCTATGGTCAGCTTAACTCTATATATTTTGAGAGAATCCATAGTAGAACCAAAACACTGTGTGCAAACATGAACAAGCAGGCATTGCTTATTTGTTCAAAGCTGTATTTTTTGTCATGCTTATACTTGTTATACTACTGTTTCAATTTCCACACATCCCTTGCAGGTATCTATAAACTGTTGAATAGGTGCGTCCACACTTACCACCAATATAAAAGGGACATTTTTACTTTTACCATGTATCAATGTACTTGAGTATTTTATTACGGGGCTTTACACTGATCATCTATACAAAAAGAGTGAAAACAGGAAGAGTTCTTAATCTACCACACCAGTACATAGTAAATACATAGTAAGTATACATAGGTGGCAATACTGTATAGGCCATGGGCCATTCGTAGTAAATGGGCATGTTATTAGAAATGTAAAATGCCAGGTGCTGCAGTGACTTCACAGTAATGAGGGCCCCACAAACAATTTTGCTATGTGCCCCATTATTTGTATTAACTCCTACACTTTGCTTGGTCCTGCTTCTTGCCTGGGACAAGATGATTTTATGATTGACAGAAGAGTACGGGCCTCCTATCTCAGTGCAAGGTTTGCAGGGTGCTCAAATCCCTGAACCACTTTTCTGCACAGTTTATACAGCAGACATACTGATGAACATTGTGCTCTGTAAACGTCACAACCTGTACATATTGCTCACTGATGCACCCTGGAAGCTGTGCGCTTTGTTAGATTCTCCCGACTATTGCTGTGGATAAGATGAGCTGTAAATGACATGCTTGTGACCAAAGTGGTTCGTTTTTTAATAGCTGCCAGCTGCTAAGTAGTGGACAGACTTAGACAACGTGTAAGCTCTATATACGTATTTGGTGAGCAGAACAGCATACACTATGTAATGTAAGAGTTTTGATTTTAATGCGTAGGTAAAGTAAGTGTTCAGTAAAAATGAAAAGGTGAACTAACACTGTACACCCTCCAACCCTGGTTCCCGCTGTGGGCGGTGAGCTGTCAGTGCCTGCACAGCCGGTATAGTGGTCCAAAGATTTGAAACACATACACTTTCTTCTCCCTCTTCTTTCTGCAGCAATTCTGGGATGGAATTTTATAAATATATATAATGTTATGTTACAGGATTTATATAGCGCCAACAGTTTACGCAGCACATATATATATATATATAATTTCAACCTACAAAGGTTTGGCCTGCGATCTCTTTGGACATCTCATAGGGATAAGCGAATGTGCCCAAGTTCAGTTGTGGGGGGGGGGGGGGGGTTTCAAATCCCATGTGAAGTCTTAAAATACTGAGCTTAGATTCAAACCTCACTGAAGTCTTTGGGAGGGGGAATGTTAACCGTTTTTTTACCCCCTTCCTGCCCAGGCTATTTTTCAGGTTTCAGCACTCTCACATTTTGCATGACAATTGCACGGTCATACAACATTGTACCCAAACTAAAATTTTATCATTTTCGTCACACAACTAGAGCTTTCTTTTGGTGGTATTTAATCACAGCTGGGGTTTTTATTGTTTGCTAAATTAACAAAAAAAATACTGAAAATTTTGAAAAAAAACCCACGTTTTTCTTTGTTTCTGTTATAAAAGTTTGCAAATAAATAATTGTTCTTCATAAATTTAGGCCAAGCTGTATTCTGCTACATTTTGTTTGGGAAAATAACCCAAATCAGTATTTATTATTTAGTTTGTAGGAAAGTTATAGAGTTCACAAACTATGGTATAGATCTGAATATTGATCAATCCTGAAGTACTGACGGCCAATCTAATTTCTTGAGGTCCAAGAATGTCAGAACAGTACAGATATCCCCCAAATGACCCCTTTTTGCAAAGTAGACAGTCCGACGTACTTCATAAGAGGCATGTCGAGTTTTTTGAAGTTGTAATTTTGTTGTCATAATTTTTCGGAAAATGAAAAAATTTAAAAAAATTATTTTCACTATTTTTTTTTACATACTGTCACCAGTTCAGTACACAGCATCATCATATAACTGGCATGGCGGTGATCAGGGACACTGACTGGTGACAGTAGGAAAAAAAAAAATGTGATAATTTTATTTTATTTTTTTTTTAGTTTTAATTTTTATTACATTTATTTCTTTTTTTTAAGATTTTGTTTTTCATATTTCACTATGAACAAAGTAGTATAATGTTACCATATTAACATTGTACTACTTTGGGGAAGTAATCAGTATTTTATTTATTTTTTTACACAATTTGCTTATAGCAAAGAATTATTTTGCTATAAACAAGCATTTACGTGAATGACATCGATTCATTCAGGGGTTTTTTTTGTGCTTAACTGTGATTTGGCCACGGCTAATCACATGACACAGCTGGGCTGTGATTGGCCCAGCCTGTGCATGTGATCACTGTGACCATTTCACAGCTAGACACACTTGTATACAATGGATGGCATGAAAGAGAGCCATCCATTGTATACAGCTGTCATGTGACCTGCTCTGATTGGTCACAGAACGTCACATGGTACTGGCAAGGGGGCTGGTACTCAGATCTGTCATCGGCCGTGTCTGAGGTACACGGCCGGTGACAGATTGTGTCGCAGAGCGGCCCTGCGGGCAGGTGCACTGCGCACACCTGAAAGGACCCAATATGGCGTCCACCCGGAGGGACAAGCTGTTCGCCTGGCCGCCATCTAGCTATAGGCCGGGTGGCAACTGGTTAATTAACTACTTGCCCTCCAGAGGATTTACCCCCTCCTGACCAGGCCATTTTTTTGTGATACGGCTCTGTGTTATTTTAACTGACAATTGCATAGTCATGCAATGCTGCACCCAAATTAAATTTATGTCCTTTTTTTCCCACAAATGGAGCTTTCTTTTGGTGCTATTTGATTGCCTGTGCGTTTTTTGTTTTTTGCACTATAAACAAAAAAAGACCGACAATTAAAAAAAAACAAAAAAACCCAATATTTTTTGACTTTTTGCTATAAAACATATCCAGTAAAAAAAAAAAATTGTTATAAATGTATTCTGCTACATGTCTTTGCTAAAAAAAAATCCCAATATGTGTAAATTAATTGGTTTACATGAAAGTTATACTGTCTACAAAGGCAGTATATATACTGGAATTTTTTTATACTCATAATGGTGGCGATCAGCTGATGTTGTGGAAGAACTGACTTACTGCCACTGACATCCCCACTGACACTAATAGAGTGATCAGTGCTAATAAAAAGCACTGATGCTATACTAATGGATCCGAGCAGGAAGGGGTTAACATCTGGGGCGATCAAAGGCTTAACTGTGTGCTGTTTTACTATTTTGTCTATGTGTGCTTTACTTTGTAAGCACGCTGCTTTGTATTGCTCTGCTACAGTGACTCCCTCGAGAGTTGGTTCTGGCCAGCTCAGTGGATTGCTTCAAAAAAGGTCTGGATTCTTTCTTAGATACACAGAATATAACTGGATACTAACATTTATAGGTAAAGTTGATCCAGGGAATATCCGATTGCCTCTCGGGGGATCAGGAAGGAATTTATTCCCCTGCAGGAGCAAATTGGATTGTGCTTTGCTGGGTTTTTTTTGCCTTCCTCTGGATCAACTGTAGGTATAGGATTATGACTATGTAACTATGTAGCAATACAAAGCAGCATGCTGGGGCTGACAGGGGAGAGATATGTTTACATACAGACCTCTCCTCTGTCACTGTTCCTTGGCAATCGCCAGGTCCATTGGGGAAACTCCGGCTGGGACCCAGTGATCGACAGCTGTAGCCACCAATTGCGG